AAATTATTGCATGCCTTTCGCCCCATGATGGAAGCATGATCATTGAAGCCTCATCACACTTGAGCTGCTGGAATTCATTATAACAATAAGCTATCTTGATCAAACTTTCTTCCTGAAGTGCATTAGTGTATGAGTTAAAGGGCCTTTACTTTGTGCACTTTTGTTACTGTGGTTTTAAGCTTATTAAATGCAATCTGTTATAGCATGAATGTTTCTAGAAATGTAAATGTATGATGCATAACAGTTAGCTCTTAGTGTGCTTCACGCACCAAGCCTAACTTACTTGACATTACATGGTGTTTGAGTATTTCAACCAAATCCTTGAGCCCAACATACTTATTTTGCCCAATTTTAGCTATGATTTATCTTCTTTTGGCTTGTGTTCTCCTATGTCCATTTTAAGTTATTTTGGACTTTTTATAGGAGTAAGAATTTTTTGATGTAGTGGTAGTGTGGTTGCTTCCTAGATTAGATTGAAACCACACCCTTCTTGTGCTACCAATTCTGCGTGATAGCAAGGGTTGTGATCATACCGTTGCAGTATTTATAATGTGGTTGTTTGGATCGGCTTCCCATAATAAATATTAAACTCATGCACGTTTACTTCTTAGTCTTTGTTTTTGTTTGTATTTTATTTCAGATAAATTTTAAAAGAGCTATGATCGGGTTGTGAGGTTGTTGTTATTGATCAAAGACTATTGTAATTTCTATCTTGTAATTTGGTGTAATTCGGGGTTTTCCTAAGGTTGAGTCGGAGTTTATGTAAAGTGTTCTTAAATTTTTTTGTTTTGCATATATTGAGTGATTCATCATTATCATCAGCAGCCTCCTCAGCTACCTGCACCTCAACCCTCTTCTGGAGGGCCTTGCGGCTCGTAGATCCCGGCATGATGTCCCCTACCTCTACGTGGATGGCCTCACCATGCACATCACTATGTCCTCTCCTCGGGACCAAAGACCCTCTCTAGCCAATAGTTTTGAGGGTATCCTTACCAGTCAACCTAGTCTCAGGAGAGCCCACCGAAATATCTATATGAAAATCCTCACTACAGTCTTAGAGGGACCAAGAAAGCGCACAAAAATGCTCCCCAGAAGCCCTAACACCCAAAATCTGGTCGGCATCCTTTTTAATAGGAGATAACGCCTTAGGAGGGAGTTGAAGAGAGTTGGTCTCTGGTCTAAACAAGAGACACAACTCAGTGATCAAAGGCAAGTCTAGATGGAAGGGCCTAACTCTACATATGCCCCACAACCCTATCCTAGCTAACCTCCTGATCTTCCCCATTGTAAATAACTCTACGCACTCCCTAAGTGAGAATAGATGACACCTAGACCCTATTGAATATTTCTGCAAGCAGAAGAAAAGAAGACAAATAGTGTCATCAAATATATGAGAAATTTTGTGACAGACACTGCCCAAGCAGGGCAATTTTATAAGATTGGTAAAAAATCACCCTTCAGGGATACCCACACAACCCTAAGGTTCTACACACACCCATAGAAGAGATAACATCAATATGAGTGTTAAAGCAAGTTACCTGAAAATGGACAACATGAACTCGCATGGTTTGTGTAGGTAATTTATTTTTTTTCTAAACCGGCTAGTACACTTATAAAAATCCAAATATTACAATATAAACTCAAATAAATGAACACGAACGTAAATTTAAATTCTGCCACTTTAATAACTCTTTATCTTAAGAACAAAAACTATATAATCATTGACTTGGGAACAACATAGAGTGTCGTAAAGTAAAATAGATTCTAGAAGATTACCTCAATTGGATTTGATACACCCCACTCTAGGTTTCCTCCTCCAAAGACGTATGGGATTTAGGTCTTTCTTAAATCTTACAACTACAGAAAGCCTTGGCTAGAAACCCTTAAGAGATGTGAGATAGAAAAATTGCAAAAAATAAGAAAATTATATTTAGAGTAAAATTAAACAAAACATATCTAAATGAGGTTAAAAAAGCAGTGAAAAAATAGATTTTAAAAATCAATTTGTGACAGAATATTTTAGAAATAATCCAAAAGGAAGGCAAATGCAAAAATAAGTATTCATGACAAACACTTTTTAATATTTACCAAAATGATAGAATACAAAAAAATATATTATAAATAAATTTCATATTTTTTAAAAAAAATTTCATAATGTTTTGGAATTTCTTTACCACCCAACTCTGGGATACTTAGACTCACCTGGGTGGCGAGTTCGAGTTACTCGGCCACGTTTAAGTTGCCTCGCCTGAATTATTATACACTGCCTAACATCATGCTTCCAAGAGTCTTGTTCTGTCAGCAAGCAAACTATGCTTCCAAGAGAGTCTTGTTCTGTCAGCACAAACTGTAAATTAGTATCCACGAGCAATCTAGTCATGCAAACAACCGCCACTCTTCATTTCAGTTGTGGGCCAAATATCTAAACCACTAGTGGCCACCAAACCATTTGTGGTTCAGTCAGTTGCAGTGGTGATACAATGGTGGAGGTGGAGCTGGAGGTGGAGCTGGAGGTGGAGGTGGTGATGTTGATGGTGTTGATGGCAGTGGTAAAGTGGTGATGGCTCAGTAGTGGCAGTAACAATGTTGCTGGTAGTAGTGGTGGTGGTGGAGTGGGTAGCGGAATGGTGATGGCTAGGCATTGATGGTGGCGGAGTGGTAGTAGTGATGGTTATGTGGTGGTGGCAATCATGACAGTAGTGGAGCGGCGTTGGAAGTAGTGGCAGGTAGGTGATGGTGCTTGGTGATAGAGTGGTGGTGGTGGTGGTCGTGGTCGTGGCGGCAACGCGAATGTGGTGTGATAGAGTGGTGATGGTATGGTAGTGATTAAGTGGTGGTAGACAGTGGTGGTGGTGGTTGTGGTGGCAGCGACGAGGAGGTAGTGGTGGTGGTGGCGGTAGCGGTCTCATAATGGTCATTCGGTGGTGGTGGCGGTAGCAGTCTCATAATGGTCATTCGGTGGTGGTGGCTTGGCAGAGGCTGTGGCAGTCATGGCAGTAGACTGGGTTGTAAATAGTGGTGGTGGTGGCGGTTATGGTGATCGGGGTGGTGACAGAGAGCGCCAAGTTAACTTTTTATCATACTTCTTCGATTAGAATTCAATTCGAAAGCCCAATTACATTTGGGAATCAATCAAAAATTGTGAATCAAACATCTCTTGAGGTCAAATTACAAGTGAGCAGTTTTTAAATGGGCCTAAATTATAGTTCAACATGAAAAATTAAACGATGCATTTACTTGAGTACCAATTTAGTAGAAAGGTTTGGATGCATTCACTCTCGAGGGAGTACACTGTACATTCATTAAATTGTACACGTATACACATGGAAAGAGCTTTTATAATATTTTGGTGTGGCCTAGCCTGCACCTGTTACTTGCGGGCCAGAGATCTACACCATCTACCAAAACAAAATCCCTCAAATAATAGTCGTCCAAAGATGAAGCAAAATAAACGGTTCAAATATTTTCTCTTGAGAGATATCATTTGTAGTTTTTAAAATTTTTTTATTTTTACAGATTAATAATCTCCATATATTAGGTCCAAATTTTGTTTCAAAAATAAATTCCACCAAATGCATCTTGTGCATCTCTCCCCACTGCAAGCATATGAATCAAGAAAATGCCAATGTGACCTTAGATTAGGGAGGAGAATGTATAAGGCATTGGGGCCGCTCATAGGCTCCCTTGTGGGCTACGCTTAAGGCATCGTAGGAAAATGGCACAACCAACTTCTACCTGTGTTTTAAGCCGTGTATAAAAGACAGGGATCTGTTGGGCGAATTGGCCTTCAGATAATTTATTCCAAATTGGCAAACCGGTGTGAGAATTGGTCCCAAAAAAACTAGATAATAATTTTAATTTTGAAAATTTTAAAACTAATAAAAAAAAAATTGAAATAGTTGAAACCCAGTGATATAGATTGCTCGGCTCCTAACAAGCTCGCCCGATTATCTATAGAACTTCGATCACTCACTTTTGAGACACTGCTTTAGAATAGCGCCAACAAATGAAACACTTGGCGCAGTACATTATTTATGCATGGCACCACGTAAGGCAACTTGGTGCAATTATTTACCAAGCCAGTCAAACAAGCCTTTGGATGCATGCATCCACACATGATAAGAAAGACGACAGTATCACCATCCCAGCTATAGCTTTGATTGCCAATCAAAATCCCTTCCTCGGTCAAGTGGAAGAATATTCAACTTTTTAATGATAGTAAACGCACAAATTCTCTGCTTGGCGATCTTTGAACATGTGGCATCCAAGCTGGCACACAACTGACCACGACACGAGGAAGTTCGACCGCCAGTTTTGGCCCATCATAATACGACTGACAATGGACCCGATAGCCCGGCCCTAAATACTAGGGCTGTCCACTAGGGCCCAGCCAAGACAAGCCCAAGCCCGGCCCGGCCCAAGCCGGCCGCATTTCCAGCCGTAAATTAATGGAGCTCTTATGGAAATGGACAATTATGCCAAGAAACTACAAATTACAAGAAAAGCACAAATTCAGCCACAGCTAATATCCAAGAACAATATGGTGGTCCCGCAGCCAAAACACCAACTACAGAGGGGAGTTGCTGGACCAACATCCAAATGGTCAGTCATCAGCTCTAAGAACAATTTAGAGAAAGAAACGACTCATTCCAGCTCCAACATTTACCGTCCATGTGATGGACAATCGAATGAAATGTTCTAGGAGCTCAGAATCTCTTTCCTATGTGTCCTGAGATTTGTGGAGAAGATTAATCAAATATGATTAGGAATTTTCAGGTCATAATAATCAATAATCTCTTAGCCAATTGTTTTGCCCATAGGATCAAAAGCACAATCTGACCACTTCATGCAGCATCAAATGCTGATTGGAAAGATACTCGCTCTGTTAGTGACATTTCAATTAATAATTGACTCATATTCGCATGTCACACTCCAAAGTACCAAAAAGAACAAAATAAAAAGAAAAATAAATGTAGCACACCATATACTTGCAACCTCTAGCAATAAAAACCACGGAATTCTCTCTCTACTTGCAATAATTCATTATAGAAGGCTTCAGTGCCACGAACCATAGATACACATTTTATGCTCACTCTTGCAATAGAAACCACCCCATCTTCATTTATCTACTTGCAATAATTCATTAAAGGTTTAAAGTAATCAGTCACCACAAGCCATATGTACACATGCTTTTGAACTGTCCGTTTTCAAACACATCTTGATCAACCAAAGCATTATACTACAAACCCGTGAAATAAGGAGCCAGGATCTAACCCTATAGCGAGGAGGTCAGGCTCCTTCACAATGGCCTAGGAGTAGAGCTTCAAGCGTGTGCTTACAGGCCTCCGACATATGGGGCACAACGATAGAGAGGCACCACACTCGGAACATGTCTTTAACAAACAGAACAACAAGACTATCAGGGAAAACTGCTCATCACACATTGCTGCAACAAAACATATTGAAGGAAAACAGGATGGGGCCTAGGATAAATGTGTACATGATATGTTGGTATTCCAATAAGTAAATATCTTGACAGATAATGACTTCTTGGGAATATAGATAAACAGCCTATAACACGCCTGGAAGTTGAGTTACTATGCATCAGATATTCTGAAACAATGAGAGCCTCCAAATGATCTTCTATTTCAGAAAACCTCATATGCTTGTTACTATTTTTATTAACACCATTTATGCCATCAATCTGAATTTCAATACACCAAAATCGAAAGGTCAACTAAACAATTAGAAAGGGAAAAAAAAAAGAAAATAGTTGTTGTACTTTCCTATTCTGATATTCATATAACGAGCCGCCTCTACTCGCTCCATCCTATTTGTAGAACACCAGTCATGAAAAATGCTCTTTAGAAAAGAAAGAGAGGTGGTTATATACTACTATTTTCCATAAAATGTTTGTTAGCTATTTTTTCTTTCTACATCCAGCAATACAAAAATTGGATTAAAAGGAAACATAAAACAGTGATATCCTACCTCATTGCTTCTCTGTTGTTTACAGAATTTGAGAAAGGACACTTTTGTTCTAAATCTGAAAGGAAAAACATATAATAGGACCATTCATATTTGGTACAAAAAGGTCGCAATCACTTTCAACTGTTAAATGTAAAATCGGAGGATTTAAGGATATACCATTGACAATACACAAAGTCTGAAAATAATTTTCTCAAACTTTGTGCCACTCCCCTGGAGCCCACTTTCATATGCTTACAGTCAGAGTCAACCTTACCTTGTGCCAAAGGTAAAAGGTCTTTGTTTTATGATCCCGATCAGAAAATGCCGTAGAAGATATAAGGTAGTCTCTGACAGTTGGCCTAGTTTTTTATCATATGCACTCCTAGTGCAGTACTATACGTATCTAACTTCTTTTTAGGAAAACATGTTGTGACAAACACCAGATTGGGAATATTAAAGAAGGTAAAATGCATAAACTTTCCTTCCCTAGGCCAGGGTTTGAAGTTCTAGACTACATTTTCTTTAAAAGAACAATTTGTTCGGTTGCATCGAGCACGGGATGAGAAGCAGAATGGTAACAAGAAAAGAGCTTGACCATGCCAACCACTTGCTGATTATGCTCACGAATTTCTAGGCACCTGAACATCATATGTACTTCTCCAACACAATGCCTTATAATTTTCCTCGTATTCTATTCAGGCAACCTTAAAATCAGTGACATAGAAAAGGATAAGAAGTGCTCACCAGGTGACCGCAGCCGAAAGCCATGTCTCTTTGATTTGTCAAGCATATGGGACAAACCTTCATGAAATGGATTCACAAAATCAAGACTCCGAACAATCAACCACATGCAAGCAACTAATTGAAAAGAAATGCAGTAAAGCCAAGGGTAGTGCATACCGGCCCCGTGGTTGTATCATCGTTGCTATTATGTAGGGAAGTAGACTGGAAATTGGTGGTGTGTGGGTACACATTGATGGCATCATCATGAGCAATTACTTGAGGTGGTGGTGGAAGGGGACTCAAACGTGATGCCTTGCCTTTACGTCGTCTGTGAAGTTAACATCTCAGCATTCTTCAAGTACTGTTTTTTCTTTTTCATGTGTGTGTGAGTTTTTTTTTTTTTGAAGGGAAGTGGGGCAGAGAGATGCTCATTACCCAAGATATCCAAGCTGCTGAGTGGCTTTAAATTGAAAGGGAATCTCCATGAGAGCAGCCAGAGCAAATGCTGCTTCTTTTTTGGATAAAGCTTGGTTTTCAGACATGATCTTTGTGAAGTTTACAAACTGCTTTCCACGAGTTTGACAAATAAGAATTGAGTTAGCAGGCAAATGGGCAAATCCAATCCTATTTTATCTACACCATGGGTCATGGGATTTGAAGATTAATGTGAAACACACCAATTACATCATTTATCTTTAATAAAATTGCATGGAGACTTTTGTCTACAAATCTGCGTCATGGATGCCAAGCTTAACAAGCTAAGACCAGTCATAAGCAGGTGTCAAGAAAGTACACATGCATAAAAGACATGCACAAACTTAGGCTCATCCAGATCAGGTCCGAGATGTTAACATTCACGCATCTATGTTGAAATGAAGTTGACCCAGGATGTTAATTTAATTTTAAACTATGAGTTCAAAACTTATTTATCGTTAATTTTTGTGATGGTCTATTTTGCTCAGGCTCAGGTTGTATCTTTGGACTTCTCCTCCCCATCTTTTTGCATTTATCTTCTGTACATTTAATGATGCTTAGGTCATGATTGCCTCACCCTATTATTCCCTCTATTTCCATGGAGCCACGTGCTATGATATTTGGCATCACTCTCTCTCCAAGTGTCTCCCTCCCTCCTTTTTGACACATCTCATGCTTCCTATTAAAATAATAAAACTTGTGTTTACTTGTGTAAACACCTTTGGGAAGAGAGAGAGAGCATGAAGAGATGTACGAACTTGGAAGTGTGAGGCTTAAAAGAGAAAACCAGGGACTTATGGAAGTGGGGTGTGAGGCTTTTAAAGAAATAGTGAACTCATAGATTTTAATCATGGAGTTTCATATTTTTAGAGTGAGATCAGTCTTTTTTCCGTGATTATTTGCAAGTATCTTGAGTATGCAACTCAAGAAGACTTTGATCTGGCTTTATCCTAGAGGGCTGTTCACCAACGACCCTATAATACTAGGAGTGTTTCGATTTTCTGATATAACCTCCAAATCTGGCTCTGATTCCTACAGGAGTCCGACTGGTATTAGGAGCGTTCAAGTATTTTTTAGACACTATCCCAGGTCTAGGGGAGGGGTTGTTGCATTTTCCGAGAATTGAGAGAGTGAAAAGGCTTATCGAGCCTCAATCAAGCTTATCGAGTGTCAATCAGGCTTATCGAGCATCATTCACGCCTATCGAGCATCATTCACGCTTATCGAGCATCAGTCAAACTTATCGAGCGTCAGTCTAGCCTATCGACCGTGCGTCAAGCTTATCGATTGTGCGTCAAGCTTATTGATTGTGCGTCAAGCTTATTGACCGTGCGTCAAGCTATCGACCGTGCGTCAAGCTTATCGACCGTGTGCCAAGCTATCGCTACAAGAAACTAACAATTTTGAAAGTGTTTACCAGACGTGATGGCTGCTGCAAGCTCGCCTAAAGCAGTGATCCAGGATTTTGTCAAGCTGGACCGTTTTGATGGACTTAATTTTAAATGATGGCAGTCGAATGTACTATTCTTACTTAGGGCCTTACAAGTGGAATATGTGCTAAGACAACCACATCCTATTGCTCCAAGTACTTCCTTGACAACTATCGGTGATCAAACTTCTGCAGATATTGCATCATGGGATAAAAATGATTATATATGTAAAAGGCATATCTTGAATGCTTTAAGTGATTCGTTGTTTGATCTATACTCAAGAATGCCAACTGCATAGGAACTATGGGCAGCTTTGGAAACTAAATATAAGGAAGAAGATGCTGGCACAAAGAAGTATCCCATTAGCAGATACTATAACTTTAAAATTACTTAAGAGAAGTCGATATTGGCTCAAATTCATGATTTTTAGATCAAAACCAATGACCTAGCATCAAATGATAATAAACTTGATGAAGCATTCCATGTCAAGGCAATAATTGACAAATTCCCACCTTCCTGAAAAGACTACAAAAATACTTTGATGCATAAGTCAAAAGACTTTAGCCTCGACAATTGATGACCCATCTAAGAATTGAAGAGGAGACTAGACTTCGAGATGTCAAAGAATACAAATCTCAAATGGTCGCCAGAGCTCACACAGCTGACGGTCCGAGAAGGAAGAAACCGAAGATTGAAAAAGGAATCAAGATTGAAGGAAAGAAAGAAGAAAAATGAGTACTCTAGACCTGATTCCTAAGTGCACGAATTTAGAGAATACTATGTGTGATGTATGTGTACGATCAAAGATCACAAGAAAACCCTTTCCTAAAGAAGGAAGAAGTTCCAAGTTATTGGAATTGATACATACTGATGCCTATGATCTAAGAGCATACAAACTCGTGGTGGGAAAAAATACTTTGTCACTTTCATAGATGATTTCTCAAGATATTCTTATGTATATTTGATTAAGAATAAAGATGAAGTATTTGAGAAATTCAAGGTCTACAAAATAGAAGTTGAAAACCAACTGAATTCTAAAATTAAGGTTCTTAGAAGTGACGGAAGTAGTGAATATTGTTCCGCAGATTTCACTAACTATTGTGAATACAATGGAATTATTCACCAAGTTACTACCCCATACACACCACAACGGAATGGCTTAGCTGAAAGACAAAATTGCACTCTCATGGATATGGTCAATGCCATGCTCATCAGTTCAAACCTCCCTGCTAATCTTTGGAGAGAGGCCCTAATGTCTGCTTGTTTCATTTTAAACCATATACCATATTCGAATTCTAGTTCTACACCATATGAACGATGGAAAGGTAAGAAACCTCATTTAGGATTTCTCAAGGTTTGGGGATGTGCAGCCTTTGGTAATGCTCCTTGACCTTAAGAGGCCCAAACTTAAACCCAGGTATGTTTAGTGCGTTTTTGTGGGCTATGTTGAACACAGCAAAGCATATGGATTTCTAGACCTGGAGTCCACGGATGCATACTTTTTTTAACAAATATTTATTGGTGAGCAGGATAATCGATATGAAGCTCGACATTGTAAACGTAAAGTTGATGAGCATGAAAACCTTGAGCACTTAGAACCAAGGAGAAGTAAGAAAATCAAGAAGCCAAATGATTTTGGTCATTTCTAGATGTATTTTTTTGAAGAAGATCCTAAAACTTTCAAAGATGCCATGTTCTCACATAACGAACGCTCCTTTCTGGAGGGAGGCAGACAACAATGAGATGAAATCGATGCTGGAGAATAACACATGCATATTGGTAGAGTTACCTCCTAGTGCTAAGCCCTTAGGATGTAAATGGATTTTAAAACGGAAAATAAAGGTGGATGGTACCATTAAAAAATATAAAGCTAGACTGGTTGCAAAAGGATTTAAACAAAAGGAAGGTGTCGATTTCTTTGATACCTATGCACCAGTTGCTCGTATGGCTACCATTCGAGTTCTCATAGCATTGGCTTCTATATACCATCTAGAGATTCATCAGATGAATGTCACAACAGCTTTTCTCCATGATGAACAAGATGAAGAAATTTATGTTGAGCAATTTGAGGGATTTGTCCTTAAGAGACAAGAGCATGAAGTTTGTAAACTTGTGAAATCCCTATATGGTTTGAAGTAAGCAGCCAAGCAATGGCATGAAAAAATTAATAGAATTATTTTATCACATGGATTTCAGATCAGTGATACTGATACATGTGTATACGCTCGAGTTTGTGATAGTGTGATAGCTATAATTTGCATGTATGTAGATGATATGCTCATACTAGGCAGCAATATTGCATGCATTAAGGACAAAGAGCTTATTGTCTTCTGAATTTAATATGAAAGACATGGGGATAACTGATGTGATACTTGGAATTAAAATAGTGAGACATTTGACTGGGTATGTTTTAACCCAGAGCAACTATATAGAGAAAGTGCTCAAAAATTTTGATCACTTTGATTCCAAGCCAGCTTCAACCCCTTTTGATGCTCAGAAAGCACCATGAAAATCATGTCTCCCAATTAGACGATGTCGGAGTCATTGGATGTACATTGTATAATGTATGCAATGTCATGCACTAGACCAGATATAGCCTTTGTTGTGGGTAAACAGAGTAGATATACCAATAACCCAGGTCAAGAGCATTGGAATGTAGTCTATAGGGTACTGAGATATCTCAAAGGAACCATAGACTATAGTGTACATTATGTCGGTGACCCCGCTGTACTGGAAGGACACCGTATGCAAACTGGATTACGGATTCCGAAGAATCCATGTCTACTAGAGGATGGATCGTCACCTATGGTGGGGGTGTTGTCGCCTGTGGTCCAAGAAGCAAACTTGTATCTCCAAATCCACGATGGAATCGGAGTTAATAGCCTTGGAAGTCCACAATAAAGAGTCTGAGTGGCTAAGGAACTTGTTGGTAGGCGTACCACTTGTCTCTGGGCCCATGCCTGCAGTCTCAATTCAGTGTGACTATGAAGCTGCAGTATATCGAGTGAAAAGTAAAATTTATCCTGGCAAATCTAGATATGTTCGCTTGAGGCAGAATCAAATTAGACTTCTGTTGGAAGATGGAGTTATATCACTACTCAATGTTCGACTCAAACCAGAACTTGGCGGATCCATTAACCAAAGGCCTTGCAAGGGACCAAGTCTGGAAGATAGCTAGAGGGATGGGATTCAAGCCTATTAGCATTATGCCACAGAGTGATGGGAACCCTACCTAAGGACAAAGCAATCCCAAATCTAAGGTTCAAACGGAAAACAAGTTACTCGTGTGATACCAGATGAATGTTTGTACAAATTTTATTCAATGGAAATTTATAAATTTCTACCTCATCCCTGCTATTGGTACAATTATTGCAATGAGTAGAGACTCTTAGTGATTCAATATGCCTAGATGATGTAAGGCCTAGGATGGGATGTTGCACTACAAAACATCTTCCATTGACTCACCTATATGAGTGTGGAAGTGAAGGCCACTTCCTATGAGAATTAGGCATTCCCTAGAGCGCCCATAAAAACCAGATAAGGCACAGACGCTTACATGCGCAAGCCTTTTAGAAAGTCACAACTTTTTTTTTTTTTTAAGTTTAAAAGTAAATATTATAATAGTAAGATTTTTTACAAAAGTAAGGGTCGAGATAACCCACAGACTAGGTCTCTCAACCAAAAATTGGTCACTAGCGACACTAGGGAGTGACCTGTTCTAGAAGACTGGCTCTAGCATCACCAGTGAGGCAAAAGATAGGAGCTTATATAATCTGCCCGTTACAAGATAGAAGACTACAATCTAGAAAGAGGAGGCCTCCCCGCAGTGTTAGTGATATAAAACTCCATGTTGTGCGCATCTATACGTGTGCAGAAGGATGGTTCCTAGCGGCTTCCTTGGCGAGACGATCTGCGAAGTTGTTGGACGTCCTCCAAATATGCGTCCATAAGACGTTTATACCCCTACAAGTATGCTCAATTTCGTAAAAAATGTGTGCTAGGTACCAAGGAGGAAAGGCCTTTCTAGCGGCCCAGAGTACTACATTTTTGGCATCTCCCTCTATGTTCAGGCGTACGCCCTGGAAGGATTAAATTTCTTGGTTCCCATCAATAGGGTCGTGGCGTCTGCAAACTGTGAGTCTTTGTGGCCAAGGTGTTCTGAGAGGGATGACATGACTTCACCGTTATGGTCACGGAAGACTCCTCCTGCGCCTACTAGGCCTGAATTTCCCAAGGAGCAGCCATCAAAATTGAACTTAATATCGCCCACCGGTGGGGGGGTCCAGTACGATACTCTTGGGTTGCGGTGAGGGGTTAATTAAATAAGGTTCACCCAGTTGCAAAGAAAACTAGCCGCCGAAATCCCAGCGAACAAGTTGTGGTTGGAAGCCCAAAAGATTACCATCGACGTAACCTTGTGGAACAACGCTGGGAGCTCAATTTTGATACCACGAAAAATTCTCGAAGTTCTTTCTAGCCAAATGGTCCACACCGTAGCATCTAGAGCGGCTTTCCAGAGGATCCTGCCCGACTTCGGCCAATTAGATTCGAAGGAACAGGAAGTCAACGCCAGAATTGAAGGGGGGGTGATCCAGGATATTTCAAAAAGTTGGATAATTCGACTCCAAAGTTGAAGGACAATCTGACAGTGAATGAACAAGTGGGGGTTTGTTTCTTTTTCGTTTAGGCACATGACGCACCTATTAGGAGTTTCGACACCTCTTCTCTGAAGTAGGTCTATAGTGTGTGCGCATTCGGAACACATAATCCAGTGGAAGGCTTGTACTTTTGGGATTCTCTGGAGTAGGTCTATAGTGAGTGCGTGTTCGAAACATATAATCCAGTGGAAGGCTTGTACTTTTGGGGGGGCTATGGATGACCAAACTTTGGAGAGCACAGAGTTCGAGTTTAAGGGGAAAGAAGGTTGCAGAAGTTTCTTGTAGAAAGAGGCCACTGTGAAGGAACTGGTAGGCGAGGGCGTCCAGACCAAGGTGTCTGACCTTGAGAGGGCGAGGAAGGTGGAGTGGAGGGAGTCCAAGAGGGACATAAACTCCAAGGTTTCTTCTTCTATGAGAGGTCTCCTAAAGCATGGATTCCAAACTCTGCGATTTCCTGAAGGTATTATTTCCTCCGAGACTAAGGAGGCTTTGTTAACTGCCTTTGAAAGGAAATATGTGGTATGTGGGAGACTTATCTTTGATGAACACAATTCAAGGTTCATCCACTCACTGTCCTGATAAATGTTCTGTATAACATGAAGTGGAGGTTCAAGTCTAAACGACACATTCAATTATGTATTTCCTTTCCTAATCTCACTTCCTTTTTCTTCCCATCTAGTAATTTTTGAAACTGGTGGGGGATTGTTATTTTAATTTTAAATTATGAGTTTAAAACACTTATTGTTAATTTCCATCCAAAAAAAAAAAAACTTATTGTTAATTTTTGTGATGGTCCATTTTTCTCATGTAGTATCTTAAGACCACCACCTTTTCTCCTCATCTCTTTGTACTTATCTTCTTTGCATTTAATGATGCTTAGGTCATGATTGCCTCACCCTCTTATTCCCTCTACTTCCATGGAGCCACATGTTATGGTATTTGGCATCACTCTCTCTCCAAGTGTCTCTCTCCCTCCTCCTTTTGACACTTCTCATGCTTCCTATTAAATTAATATATCTTATATATAAACTTTTGGGAAGAAAGAGAGCATGAATAGAGGTAGGAACTTGGAAGTGGGAGGCCCAAAAGAGAAAACCAGGAGCTCATGGAAGTGGGGTGTGAAGCTTTTAAAGAAACAATGAACTCAGAGATTTTAACCATGGAGTTTCATAGTTTTAAGAGTGGGATCAATCTTTTTTCTGTGATTTTTTGCGAGTATCTGAGTATGCAACTCAGTAATCAGGAAGACTTTGATCTGGCTGTATACTGAAGGTGTGTTCACCTGAGACCCTATTGCATCTCGGATTTGTATCAGGTAGGGGGGAATCAATACTTCGAAGAAAGCGAACTCCTCCGTGCCTCCAGATCTCGGATTTTTACTGCCATTGTGTATAACCTCTGAATCCAGCTTCGATTCCTACAGGAATCCGACTGGTGCTAGGAGTATTTCGATTTCCTGATATAACCTCCAAATACGGGAGTCCGACTGGTATTAAAAACGTTCAGGTATTTTTTAGGCACTATCCAGATCTAGAGGAGGTGCTGCTAAATTTTTCCGAGAATTGAGATAGTGAAAAGGGTTATCGAGCGCCAGTCAGGCATATCGAGTGTCAGACAGACTTATCGAGCATCAATCTGGACTATTGACTGTGCGTCAAGCGAATGTGCATCAAGCTTATCGATTGTGCATCAAGCTTATTGACTGTGCGTCAAGCTTATTGACTGTGAGTCAAGCTTATCGATCGTGCCTCAAGCTATCGACTGTGCGTCAAGCTTATCGACCGTGTGTCAAGCTATCAACTGTGCGTCAGGCTATCGATCGTGCGTCAAGCTTATCGACAGTGCGTCAAGCTATGACTACAAGAAACTAACACAGGATACATTAAGAAGTTGTGTGAAAGCTGTCATTGTATATCCAGATTCAATTTAGAGAACCATAAATAAGATACAGAATCATCAACAAGAGAAGAGAGCTAACTGGGGCCTCATATTAGAAGAATAAACATTGCTTTCATTCATGCAACTCGAATGAAAGATGGACTACGTTAGCATTACGACCCCTGATAACCTTGATAATGTTACAACTTCCAAACTGTTGTATCCTAAAGGTCAAAAAACCATTAGAAGCAATAGATGCAGTACTGAATATCCGACATGAATCACTAGGGACGATAACTAAACATACAGGGTAGATAAATTCCGACAGGAATCACTAGGGATGACAACTGCCATGTGTAGAAATCGGAGAGCCCCCAACTAGGGATGACAACTGCCAACCATCCTTGTAAAGAAAGCGAGTTTACTGACTTGATAAGACATAACACAACAGGATTTTCTTTAATGTATGGAAACCCAGGTCCGAAAGAAAGAATCATTCTCTACCATCAACATTCCTTTTTATGGGTAGGATACCCCTTCCTTGCTGAACTATTTAAAAAAAACAAACCATCCCGTTGCTGTTGCTCTCGCTCACTTGATGTTGCCAAAGGCATGACTTTTCTTAAATAAGACAGACATTGACACACTCTTCAATTTTCCATCGATAAGACATTACTACTGAGAACCTCTTCATATGAAGGCAACAATAAGGGGATGCCTATCCTATCATAAATGCATAACCATAAATGTCCCATAGACATTTAAAAATAAATCAGAAATTTGTTATTACAAATTAGTATGGCACGACCCATATAAGATCTCCAAATGACCTGTCATGAGCTTTAGTTATCTAAATGCTAAAGTAGCATCCCCATCAACACTTGATTCAGCCAATACTTTTCATTAATATATGTTGCATGCAACGTATTTCAGAAGTCTGTGCTCCCAGACTTTTGCTTCCCCTGCAAGGCACTATCAAGTAATAGCTTAGCAGATAAACCAAAAATGTTGCTCGAGAGTACTTTGTTTCAGCTGCAAACAATCTCAAACATTAGCCTCCATTTCTTTTGCTTGTTTGAACTCTGCATGCAATGTGACAAGATATACTATCAAGCCCTAGAAACTTCAAACTCTACGCAATCTAAAGAAGCTTCAAACATTCCATAACATAATGAAACTTTCTAGTTCAGGTGCGTGAATATACAAACATGCTTACTCAACATGCATATATTACTCAAATCCAATGTTACCTGAAAATTATCAAATGCCCTACAGGGAATGTTATCGTCAAACTGCCGCATTCCATCCCATGGTCCATCACCCACGCCAACCAAAACTATCGAAAGAGGGTACTCACTGAATAGGCAACCTCTGATTCAGGATAAACGTCCTATGCGGTATGTGCTTCAGCATAATGAAATAAAATTTTGCGATTTACCTTGCAGCCACAATGGCATCTATAGTTGCATGCTCTTGTGGACTCAAACTTCCAGGGTCTACGTTGACACTCCTAGTCACCTAGAGGGAATCAGTTTAGCTGATAAGGTAATAATTAGAAGAAAAATCACTTGCAAAAAGACAATCTAAGATGTAAAATGTCAAAGAAGATCAGAGACATGTTAACCTGCCCATCAGCAATGATCACAAGGACATGATACTGCCCCCCACTTCTCTCCACAATATCAATAGATGCCTCAATTATAGGAGCAAAGGATGTTGGACCTGGATAAGAATAAGTAACTCATAGGACAATGGGAACCAGGATGCAACACACAGATGTTAAATAACAATTGAAGAACACAATCAGATGCAAATGTCTACCAACTTTGGCAAATTGCCAATAAATCACCTACAGGAGTATAATATCTGAAGTTAGACATTTACAACCAAAATGTTTTGAGGAGCATTAAATAATATTTAAATGGAAGGATTGTCTACAAATATACCATTTATCTTTTGTACAAGCAGGTCAACTATTCCCACCCACTTGTTAGATGTCAAATTGGATCGCTTAGGGTCAATCAAAGTTTGAGAATTTTTTTTTGGAACTTTGTGCTATTCAATGACACAACTACCCCTTTTAAAATTTAAGGGACAAGAGTGATTGTGACCTCCTTATACAAAAGATAAATGGTCCCTTTGTAGACAATCCCTTAAATGGATGTGAAAATATTGTAACAATCTAATTGTCCAATTACAATTGGCATTCTGGCTACCTCTGGAAAAAAAAAAGCAGATTGCAAGTTTGCAACAATTGATAGGTTGCATGTTTCTGCAGGAAAATATATAAGAAGTAGCAGTCCAGCCTCTGGGCAGAAGTCAAACCAGATTATCATTGAAAAACAAAACGCATATCAATCTAAAACAACATTTAGTGCTAACATTTGGCATTCTAAGAAAATCTCGAAGAATGTTTAGTGCTAATATATGGTGTTTTAATAAATACTTGGAATGCATCTTTAGTGCCTCTACGCATGTAATGGAATAAATTTCAGATTAGGGTCTCACATGTTTATCACTACCTAGAGTAAAAATGCCTTCGCCTGTTGTAAATGTTATTTGTAAACATAGCATCATCTGTTTTTATCATAAATGCCTAGATTTAGATTATGTGTAGTTACCTTTGATGATTTATTTTCAAGATGACATAAGAATGGTAGCATATACTCAACTAGTTTTAACAGATGACCATGTTGATTACCTCTTTTTGTGAATATATCATATTACCAGCAAATAATAGGAAAAATATAATGTGATGCATTGCTAGGTAATTAGGTCTTTCTATGCTCCTACTGTGATCCAGTGCTTGGCTATTAGAAATGGTTACTCTTAGGTTGTTGCGAGGGATGATGTAAACCCCAAGTGAATATGACATATGCAGGCAGGCGATGGTTTTATTAATTATCAATATCAATAAAATAACATTTCTTACTCAATTTGACATTTAAAAACTTTTTCTATGCAAATAGTAATATCCAGTACCCTGCAAAGTAGTAACATCCAGTTACTGTGCAAAGTATATTCAAAAGTTGACATGAAAATTTGGCTTACAACATTTATGATGATCATATGCCTATGGTAAAAGACTTACCTGGTAAGGATGGGATAAAAAATTACATCCGTATAAAGACTTCTACCGGGAATTCAAGGGTGTCATCATCATCATACGAGCCTTATCCCTACTATTTGCGGTCGCTACACAAATCCTACTCTACCATTCTGCTCGATCAAGGGCCACACCCTCAGTAAGACCATAAGTCATCATATCTTTTCTCGCTGCTTCCATCCACATCTTTTTGGGCCTTCCCTTTGCCCTTTTAGAGCCTTCACCTCCTAACTGGTATTGTATTAGGCCTACGTTGCACATGGCTAGGCCACTTAAGTTTATTTTCCTCATCTTATTATCTATTAAAGCCACACCTAAATTCCTTCGAGTACTTTTTGGGGTATATGTCTTGGGGAAATTCAAGAATAGTTGTCAAAAATATATGCAGTGGTCTAGGAACAGAATACTAGTATTTTTGGGGTATGTATTTTAATTTTACTTATTTCCTATACATTGTCTATTTTTTACGGACACTTGGAAGGGTATACGGCGGTTTTGGACTTCCCAATGTATGGGAACTTGGTGAGGATCTCTAAAAACATCTAGCCCTACAATTGGAGCGTAAAAGAGTCTTGCATGTTGGCTTAAAAACACTTTGACAAATTACGAGTTTAAGCTATGAGTCAACCCATGAACTCCTCTCCTCTCGCTTCCTTGGTTACCATAAAGCGACCATGGGGGGGCTGAGTCTGCCAAATTACTCACAATGACGTTAAGAAGAGGCTGTGTGGTCATGGTGCCAACAATGAACCAACAAGGAAGAATTTCAAGGCCAAGGAGACAAATAGAGGAATTGACAAGTTCTCATGCGCTAAACGACAGCTCACCGTGATTCGGACATTAGTAAGGGTGACAAATACATAGCAACAGAGAGGATCCCTTCCGCAATACGTGGTGGGGTTAGAGATTATGCTTAGAGGATAAGCTTGTTCAAACCCCTGAAGGAGAGCATAAAGGAATTTCCATTTCATGTCCCTGAATCCCCTGGAAGGCTTCAACTGGATGGCTTCCTTGGTTCGCCAGATAGTGTAGATTTGAATGGAAGGAGTTATTGGACACAAGAAAGAAAATTTCGAGGCTACAGATTTGAAAGGACTCGCACATGCATGGTGGCAACAAAGTCTATTGAATTGAGAGAGAAGGGAGAAGAAAACATTGCTATTTAGAGGAAGATGAAGTTGTGCTTGAAAGAGAGATTTTTTAGCATCTTCAATTATGCCCAAACTCTCTCTCAACAATCCCATCATCTTATTACACAAAGATAAAGAGTGCACAAGAGTACAAGACTATTCAGTGGAGTTTTAGCAACTCATGAGCTGCAGTTAGTAGCAACAGTTGATCAGTTAGCGCCACGCTATGTCAGTGGACTGCAATCACCACTCCAAGATGCCCCTTCAATGTATATTGGGGTAGAGGAGGCATATCAATGAGCCTTGAAAGTGGAATGAAAGATCAAGCTGACCTCTTATGGTCCTGCTTGTGCCTGTGGATTGACGTTGACCCAGGGAGAGGCACCAGCAAAAGGACGCAGCAGTAGTGTTGGATGGCATTGGGCCTAGATACTCAAGACTACCCAAACCCTATTTCTGAGAGAGGCAGAAGAGCACAGAGGGCTGTCCAAAGATGATCATCTAAAGGTTGTGACCAGCATTTCAACAATTTCGAAGTGTGGTGAAACCAGGAAAAGACTGTTGCAGTGCCCAAGAGGAACGTCAGCGCACAAGCTCATCATGTGCAGCCAATGTATGAAGAGTATGCAAACGATGCAAAAGGGAACCTGTTTATGATTACAAGCCATAAGGGAATAGCGGAGGGCTGGAAAATTTGTATACCCATGCAGGAGAGTAGCCCGACTCATGAGTTCACAAGATGCAAATTATGAAGATCATTGGCATTATCTTAATACTACAGCATGAGATGCACAAGTAAGGGCACACGGTTTGCACCATTACTGTTGATAGCAGTGTTTGCAAACTTTGGTAATTCGACTCAGACTCGCCTAGATGATGAGCCTGCAACCTGCAAACTGAAGAGGTATATATAAGATTTCATCATTTTTTATCATAGGTGTGCCCAATTGAGCCCAAATTTTGCCCATAAATTGCAAGATCAATACATGAGATTTGAGCAAAATCATCAACCTTGAGAGATCTGAGAGATCAAAGATTTCAGCCTAGGGTTTGACCAATTTCAAACAATCGCAATTTCTTCAAGATGGTTGATTGATCTTTAATGAAATTTATTCTGTCTATTTTTGGTCCTTCATCCAATATATGCTTGTTTCTCACAAAAAAATAAAAATTCTTGGAATTGAAAGTTCTTAATATCAGAATTACTATTCACATGGAAATTTCAGGAGCTTAGATCAACTAGATCTGAGCTTGAATCGTAAATCTTGTATGAAGGTTTTGATTTCTGATGTCTGAAGAAGCTTTGATAGAGATCGAAGGCAACGACTTTCCCTGCGTGCAAACATCGGAGGGTCGCCCTATAAATTTTGGGTAAATTTATGTTTTCCAATTTAAATTTCAAAGGATCGACTTATTTATATTTATTTTTTATTTTCCAATTTTTATGTTTTTATTATGTTTCAAATTCTCTATCTTTCATCATTTTTCCTGAATCTAGGGATTTCTTAGGCATCTCAACCAACAAGGAACAAACTCGAGAAACTGGACACGGACTCACAGAAGTAACTAAACTTCACCATTGGCCTAGTTCCGTCCTGAGCTGCTTTTTCAAACATTGGATAATAGTGTGAATTGCAAGAATATAGTTTTAAAGGAGGCATTGACCCAAATGATTTTAATTGTGAATTTAGAAGAAATAATAAAGTACCCCTTGATTCTCGATGTCTTGTCAATATTACTATTGCGAAAATATATGAGGTGAAAGTTTGATTTGAATTGCTTCTCATAGATGTATGCTGCATCACACATTGTCCCTGGCAATATGACTCAGAAGCCATTCATAATGGTAAAAATAATACATACACATTTCGAAAAAATGTTGTTAAGATTACAGTTTGACTGTTAAAAGAAGATTATCAACCCAAACCTTAATAGAGCAAGAATCTTCCTCTAGGAAAGTCATGAAGAAAGGATGATTTTTTGCATTAGCGGCCAAAGATCAAGTGGGGCCTAAACCCATACCAAAGAGTGTGAGCCCTTGTTGCTGAAGTACGAAGATTTGATACCCGATGAGCTGCTGGATTTTTTTTTATTTTTTTTTAATGCTGTTAACTATAGTGTAAAAGGGAATAAGTACAAGGGTGTGCAAAGAGAACCCACATACCGGACCTCTTGCCAAAAGAATAGACCATAGTTGTTGGAAACGCCTGGGAACCTGAATCGTTTAAGGAACCGGAATCGTGGAACCGCGCCTGGCTAGAAGTTTCCCATTGTAGGAATCGTTGTCCGTACAATAGGAATCGTTGGGAACGAGATTCCTAATTTTCAGGAATTGAGTATCGATCAGAATAGGTCCAAGTTTCATCCACATAAGGAATCGAGATTTCAACCTCCTTGGAATCTAGATTCCCATCCCCTTGGGTTCCACACTCCAAGTGTCAAGTTTCATGAATATGCGGAATCGAGTTTCCGTCATCTATAGAATC